AGCTTTTTTCAGAGTTTTGATTCTGAAGTGGCCAGCTGAAGATTAGGCAGGCCGCGTGTTCTGGTCACAGTTCTAACTGTCCTCAATAGCTTTTCGACTTCTCCAATGTGGTAGTACTCCCTAGTTTGGTATGTAGTGTTTAACTTTGTTAACATACTTTTTGGGCCAGCCAAGTTGTCGGCTTCTCTTGGCAGCCTTGAGAAACTTTATTAAGGTCAATGTGTAGCGTAAGCATGACTGCAGAGAAAGCGGGATGCGGGCATCACCACTGTATCCGGCAAGGCTATTTGCATCACGACTGCGCATCGGACATGCGCAGATACTCACGGCGCGCTATCGTGCGCCTATATATTCAGTGACTGAATAAACCGATGCCACTTCTTGTTCTGGCCATCATGCTGTATCGTCGTCCTTGCTAGTTACAACCACAGTTACGCAGTCTTTTCCAGCTTTTTTGTGTTTATTTGTCAGTAATTTTTACAGCGAAAGGTTTTATAAGATCAAAACTCACGTAACGCGCAGCGCCGTAGTTGTCCACCACCGCCGCTGCCACCGGGGTCTTTAATCACTATCGCAGAAAAAAACTAGTATAAAGAACACAGTGGGTCTCGAACCCGGGTCCTCTGCGTGCAAGCTCTAGTAATTTACCACTTAGCCACGCCTTTTCTTTCTTTTTTTTTGCCTGCGTGCATACAACATTTACAGACAAATATACATCCCAGTGCTTGCGACTTGTTTTCAAACTTGCCTTAGACAGGTTTGATGTCGGTAAAGGAATCACGTTAATATGAGGAATACAGCGTTTTAGAACAGCAAAAGAACAACTAGGTGACACAATGCGAATAGCGTAACGAGTGGGTCGCCCAACACTCCTACCGTGTGGTGCATACCTGTTTCAAGCATAATTCATCATCGTCGTCAGCCACTGCATGAACTACTGGCACGAAATTTCTTGCAAGAGTTTAACGCATACTACGCTTCTCTGAAGAACGACGAAGGATAGCATAGCGAAGGCCAGCCTGCTGCCCAGAAATATTTATTATTAATGTCATAGTGAGTATCAAGCAAGTGCGCTTGCAGCAGTTACCCAATGAGTGTTTAGAAAAGGCTCTGAAAGGCCCCTCTTAAAGCTTTCGCTTTGTCTGTGCTGCGTCTTCCACGCAGCCTGGCGTTTTTTTTTTTTTTTTTTGATTACAGGACACGTTAGTCCACTGCAACGAGGCTCTAAATAGCAGGAAAGCTAAGCAAGCCGCGCCTCTCTTGTTGTAACGGCTGCGTCGCCCTGTATTCAATACAACTGAAGCCATCACAAGCCTTTATGAGGCGCTAGCCTTCAGGGACTCTGCTGGTGCATGCACGCCCTTTCTCAGTGCTTCCATGGTGAAGCGGGTGATATGACTCCAAGCCCAGGGAGCCTTCCTGTGGGGAAGTGGATGATGAGATGGGCATTGAATAACGTCAATATAATTTAGGTGTTTCGGATATGGTACGGTACTCCAGGGGGCTTTGCGTACTTATTTAGCAATTTTTATTACTAGACCCGCAACACAAATGCTGAGTGGTGACGTTTTGGCGGATTTTGAAGAAACATGGTGTCTTTTCACTCGTCATTTGGCGAATTTTATGAAAAACTCGGTGACAACCCGGCTTCTGTCACACATTATTACACGCATTAAAGGTTCCATTACATGACATTGACATGGTTTTTTTTTCTTAATGCGGCTTCAAGTAATATTGTCACCATGTGGTAGAACGCCTCTTTTCTACGCAGACGGCGCCCGTTCGCCACGCTGACTAGTGTAGACGGTGACGGTGGGGTGCGGGCCTAAGGAGCTTCGCTCCTAAAAACAATGTACTCGTTTCCACAAAGTGAATCATAACGAGAGGGCCAAGCTCTTAGTATCGCATCGGTGAGTAACCATTGCAGATTTAGTTGCACGTCAGCAGCAGCCTTACGGACGCAGTCTCTCATCGCAAATGGCTCGTAGGTTACGTCTGTAAGCTGCTGTGGACGTGTAACTAAATCTTTGTATTGATGTAGGAAGACGTGCGGCGTGTGTTTTTCGAAATTTTATTTATCCATGTTCTGTCATAGACGTCCACAGACGCTGTCACTCTTGATGGCGTCTTCTTCTCTCGCGCTGGCCTGAACACGCGCAACTGCGTCACAACTTCTTCATATTCTCCGAGACGCTGACGGCTTGCCATAATGTGAATTAAATTACATAAACTGTGTATAAAAACGTGAATTTATTTTGCCTTCTACTCGTCTTGGGTAATTCAAGGAGAATTTAGAGAATTGCTGGAGTGGATTAAATGCCTCGAAAGTGAATTCAAGAAAACGCCACCCTACAGATGGCAAGATACTATTTTAATATCCACTTTTATTTCTTCGCAATTACAATTACTTTTAGAACGATCCGCTATACTATCCTTGGCAACATAGTCTATCACTTCTCGTCAATATTGTGTCTAACAAAGAAAGCAAGCCCTTAAGTTTACCTTTCTTTCCTACCCTTTATTACGGGTAATTAGCTAGGACATATAGTGCTCGACGAGTGCCTTTGTTTAAAAGTTTCCATGAGAAGTTTTAACATAGGCATAATTTGGTGGAGGCCAATTCTTCAATGCTCTTTTTGATAGGCTATTTTCTGCGGAAACAGCGACATTTGTTGCTGCCCTCGTTACACTGCCCACTGCCCTCGTTGCACCTTATAAGCAGCCTATGTCTACGTTGAAGTCTAATGAAAAGTCTTTTTTTGTGTGTCTCACATATGTTTTCTTTATATGGTTCTCTGACGTTACCACAACGAAAGACAAGGATATTTTCTAGGGAGCTTCGCCCCCAAAAGTGAATGCCGCACAAAAGCACATGCGGCTGAAACAGTTCTTCAAGATTGCACACGAAGCGCCAAGCGTACGGGGCGAGCTGCATGCGTGAGAAAAGGTCCATGCTGCTCAAAGGGAAAACCGAAATGGGGCACAAATTAAAACCAAAAGCAACGTTTGACATTTCGGGTTATGTTGCAGTGTATACGTGAGCAGATAAGGCACAAAATTGTCCGCCCCCGTGTCACGTGATCAACAGCTTCACCCGTCTTCTCTTTCACAATGTGAAACGGTGATTGTCTACTCACTACGGTTCCTGCTTGCGCACGGTACGTTTAACGTGCAATGCGCCATTGGTAGTCGGAGAGCATTTTAGTTTCGACACTTGGTTGATGCTGCTGGCTATTACCGCTGACTTCTTCGGCTGTCATATAGTATAGGACATGGCGCCAGGCGGAAGTGGAACGGGTGCAGGTTGAGGTCATGTGCTCTCAGGGACAAGTATCTTCGGGAGGCGCATCATCATCATCGTCACTCTGACTGCGCCCATTGCAGGGCTAAGTCATCTGCCATGCTGCGCCAATAACCCGGTACTGTGCTTGCAGCGCCAAGGTTATACCCTCGAATTTTATAATCTCATCTGAACGCCAAATGTCCTGCATCTCCCTCGCGTGTTTGCTTTCTCTTGGACTTCACACTGTTGCTCGAAAGACCAGCGATTATCTTGCCTACGCGACACATCGCCCGCTTATGGCCACTTGTTGACTTCATTTTCGATATGCTGGACACCCATTTGTTCCGTGACCTACTCTGCTTTCTTCTGGTCTCTTGAGGTAACGCCTATCATTTTCCTCTCTCTCGCTGCGTCGTCCTCAATCTAAGTTAAACGAACTTTGTAAGCCTTTAGGTTACTGCTTCAAAGGTAAAAACGGGTAAGATACAGCTGTTATATACCTTCCTCTTCAGTGACAGTAGCAAAATATCATGCGAGACTTGAGAATGTCTGCCGAATGTTCTCCATACTATTCTTTTCTTTTTTTTTTGACGGGCGCGCATGAATATAAGCAATATAAACTCTCCTTGCGAGGTGCTTCTCGACAGGTCGGAGTTCCTGTAATACACTGAGAGTTGTGAAGCATCATCACCTAGAAAATATTTTATCAATGAAACCTTCCAATCAGCTCGAACTCGAATTGGTTTAAAGTTTGAAGAAATTAAACTTGTCTCTTACCATGCCGCCAGATCTGCGCCAAAATGGGGACCTTCACGGTCAACGCGGCCTCCTTTTTCTTGTCTCTGCATGTAAGCGGCGTTACTTCCTTTTCTTTTACTAAGTACCAAAACGGCTGTACTGAATAAGCGGTAATCTGTGGCTCTGTGTATGTTTTTCGCTTCATATTTTGCTTCGAGGGGTCTTTCTAGGGGCTACGTTTGCTCGTTGCCTATCACCGGTCACGTATCGTGATCAGTGGTGTTGTGTTGTAAGCAGCGCGTTCAGCGTAATAAATTTTCGCACATGACTGTTTGATGCACGCCTGCCTTTGCAATAACACTGTATTCTTCTCGCTTTAAAATTTCAAGCCTTTTCCCGCCATGTATACCTCGCGTATGTGTACTTCGCAGATGAAATCACCACCACATGGTGAACGTGCCGCTGTTTGTTCTTTTTGAAAACTAGGCCTGATGACAGACCTTTCGCGTTGCCCTGCCGCGGTGGTCTATTGGCTAAGGCACTCGGCTGCTGACCCGCAGGTCGCGGGATCGAATCCCGGCTGTGGCAGCTGCATTTCCGATGGAAGCGTAAATAGTGTAGGCCCGTGTGCTCAGATTTAGGTGCACGTTAAAAAACCCCAGGTGGTCGAAATTTCCGGAGCCATACACTACGGCATCTCTCATAATCATTTGGTGGTTTGGGGACGTTAAACCCCACATATCAATCAAGACCTTTTACGTTTTCCTCGCCCCCGCGTGGGCGGATTTTGTCTGTTAGTGCTTTGTAACACGCGAGTGTAGCCAGACCACCAGTCTTTTCATGACGAACCCTCCCAGTAAGGAAATATATTTCGAGATTGAGTGGAAGAGGAGGCTCGACGAGTACTTGTGCCAGAAGGGTTTCTGGGCTCCTATAATGCATCCCATGGCTAACGGCTATTTGAATAGAGGACCATGTGTACATGGAAACACGTATCTTTATTTCCAACCGTTTCGTCATTACAGTCGCCACTGCTTTACGCCTTCTTTTATCAAAATGAAACGTATAAAAAAGGAACTATACAAATACATTACAAAAGAGATTGGCATTAGAAACACGCTAGGAAAATACACTTTATACTGTTGTCGAGAGTGCAAGGCAAGTTTCTTTTCTCTCTGTAAGGCATTGTGGCAAGAACAAAGCACGCAACAGGCTTGATACACTAATATAACAACAATATGTACAAAATATAAAGCTCCACGTCTTTTGTTGTTGTTTTAGTATATATACAAAAATGCGTAGTCCACATCTCAGCTATCATTTCTTTGGTGCACACAGAAGCTGCAATGCTGTTCATTACAAAGCGCTTAAAGAAAGACAATACTAGAATCAATGCATTCCTGGTGGCTCTTCTGACTGCTAGTGCTGGGACTTGCAACAGTTGGGTAGCTCAGAAGTGTAGTAACTTCTTCTTCTTCGCTTTGGATTGGCCCACAGCGCAAAATGCACGTACTGAAGGGGAGAAGAAGCAATAATAGCACTTGGCACATGAAGAACTCTGCGTCAGCAGCGACGTGGTGAAGCAGTGAGGTGGGTACTACATCGCTGAAGCAGTAGTTCTTAAATGTCTTGGTTTACTGAGGCATAATTAGGTTCTGTTCTGTCGATTTTAAAGGTAACACACACCTTTACATTTCAATTTTCAAGCATTAGTTTGAGGACATGTGTTAAAAATACAAGGGAATTTCTTCAAAGAAATTCGTGTTCAAAAGGGCGGCATTGTGGTCTCAAGCTTTGTAATGTAAATTACGTATTTCTTCTGGGCTTGACTTCGGGAAGATAACTTCATGCAATCATTTTCTTGTGACATATGGGCACAATGAGCAGGAATAGCTGAGCAGAAATTCTTCGGAATGGAACATCCATCCTCGGCAGTGCAACAGCAGGTCAAGCAGGTCGACCGTTGAATGCTTCTTGGCTTCAAACGAAGCTTGCCGAGCAAAACGAAGAACCATTCTACAGGCTCGCTGGATTTCAGTGTGGAAGCATTGCCCCGATAATGGCAACGTCTTGCACAAACATAGTCTTTTCTCTTACGATGATCTTCATCGTCGCACTGAACTCGAAAGGAAGCTAGCTATATTTCACTTTACAAGTGTCGTTCGCACCCCTAAAAGTCGCCTCGCAATAACGAAATACGTTACTTCTGTCTCTTTCAGATGCATGGTTTAAACACCGCACACATCTGAGTGCCGCACTCGATACACGTCCACGCACAACACTGTTTGGGTGTCCGGTGCATTCGAGGAAGACAAACCACTGTCGAAGGCAATCACTGTCATCTAATTGCAGAGACGGAAGGCACTAACGGCTTGGCATGTGGCAGATTTATCACAACGGCTTGCTTCACGCACGCAGCTTCTCAGGTTTTGACCTACGGCGCCCTCGCTTTCATGCGAGACACTCGAAGGAGGAAGACACAGTTCAGTGCTGTTTGACCTAGAAGTACACTGTGAGTTCGTTGTGGTCTGGGGACTGGTTGCCACCGGTCAGTGGTGTTACGCTGACGTCAGGGTCCAGCGCCGTCTGAAATGACAGAAGTAGAAGAACAGTGATAGGCGTACATGTTACCCTGCTTGTGCTTTATCGCGTGGTGGCAGATGAGTACATGAATATGAAAATTTCACCGCAGGCCCAAATAATGAACCCGATAAGAAGAAATTGGAAGGTCACACGAACTGAGGCTATTGCAGCTAAATACTCAAGAAAACATGGCTGCCGCAGTGAGTGAAAGGACATCCATCCGGGCTATTGGTCATCGAACTTGCACCGGCGATTATATACTGACAGGATTATGACTGCAAGATGTGTGACATTGCGTGTGCGTGCTCTCTCTCTTTCCCCATCTTTGAAATTGCCCATCTTTCCCCATCTTTCCCGCATCCTTTTTCCCTTTACAGCGTAGCATATCAGTCTCTATATTTTAACATCCCTGCCTTTCCTTTCTCTCCTGTTCCTTCCCTCCTTGCAATGTGAGCACAACCTGTACAAAGCTATGAGCCATGAGCTGGTCACCTCTTGAGATACGTGGCACGTCGTGCTTGACCACAGGAGACCACGTCAACGTTAGTATATAGCGTTGAACCACGTCCTGCCGGCCAAAATACGCATTTATTTTTGATCCACGCAGCCCTCCATATACACCAACTCAATGCGCCTTTCGCACGAAGAAGTCACCTGGCTCACTTGAACTCTGAGTGGCGGCGTTTGTCCGCAGTGCTCACGCACTTTCACTCGCACACAGAACACATGACGCACGGAGCGATGTTACCGATTTGAACTTCGTACTTAACATGATGGCGGTGGCAACGAAAAAGAATGTGCCCGGGTTGTCCGTATAACTTCTACAGCAATAAAAAAGTCACTGTTTGTTTTGTCACTAGAAGTTATCTGCCTTGCGTGTATCTACGCTGACACCTTCTCGTTACCGACCCTTTTTCATAAGTTAACCAAGTTGGATGCATGTTATGGTCTTCGTGCAAGCAGTAGGTGAGGAGCGTTACAAAAAATGCAAACTATATGAACAAACATTATTGGTTGGGGGGAAAATAAGCCCCAAAGCTTACAAACGTTTCCCAATATTACAACTTGAAGAAATTGCCAACAAAATTTAACTGAATGCTTTGTTCAAATAAATGCTCTATACTGAGGGTGTTTTTCCTAACCAAAAAGATGTGATTGCACGATACGTCTTGTGATTGATTCGTACTCATTACAAAATGAACCCAGTGGATAAGGAGCCAGATAAGCTCAGTGAAACGGCATTCTTTTTTTTTCTAATTCTCATATGCACCTCAGAGATAGAAGACTTGCCTTGTTTGGTTGCTCGTCTTCCCAGCTGAGTTTCTTTACCCTCCTTGGTATGGAGCCGATCGGCCACTGAACATTGAGGAGCTTCCCGTTGCCAAGCGGCGAAGGGACGGTAGGGGGCGCCGCGGTTCCATTCCGCAGAGGCTCGAGCCTGCCATTTGGCAGTGCTCCGCCATTTTGCTGCGGTCGGTTGTTGTTGTTGTTGTTATTCCCGTTAGGCACGGGAGTGTCCGGACTGTCCGGCACTGTCTCTCGTTCGCTCATGTCCTCGGTCGTGTCGTCCGACTTGGCATCGGACAGGTTGAAGATGGGATTCTCGACTCCGGCGAGAGGTCGCGGAGGGTTGATTAACTTGTTAGCCGCACTGTGGGGTGCTTTTATTGTTGCCACCTGCAAGTGAATTAGCCAAGTCATGTTAATAGGGCAGATCTCAAAGCCTGGCAGTACACTTTAGGGATCATCATTTTTGTGACCCTGCCGTACCTTGTTCAACGGCGTGTGACCATTCCCTGTGATAGAGACTGGCAGTCTGTTCCGATACTTTTTGCTGAAAGGTAATATGGAGATCATATTAAATGCATAGCTCTACAGTTCACTGATCACTTACAAAAACAGCAACAGTACACATATTATACAAAAAAGAGAATGCTTCTTCTTGCACCCTGAACCTTCACAAAAATAGACGCTGTCCGCAAGCCTACATACGTTTCACTGCGAACAAAATTTATGACGCTAAAGTATTATGACAAATCACGCAAAACTCTAAAAGGATTTGATTGCACACATCATTGTCATTTTATGAAATGTTTTTGTTTTCTTTAGGGCGTTGCTTTAAAGCATGCACTCCAACAAGATACACCGATTATGATAGCATACCCAGCGCTGTTTATTAATTATACGAAGACCGATGGTATCCTTTGCTGACGATGTATTCTTGCACTTACTGAGCCTATTCCTGATCGCAAGCACAGTCACGTAAGGACCGGAGCTCTATATTTCTTCTACATGCACACGATGACCTTCCATTCTTCTTATCATATGGCGTGTGATGCCATCGATAGGTATTTGCGAATGATTTGTCGCAAGCCATGCTCTGTGTGAAAGGTGAATGTGACGAGTTGGCAGCGTTCAACATGGAATGTGCGCGTTGCTCACCTAACATGGGATATAATAATTCAAGACATTTAAACATGCATGTTATCTGCTACAAAAACGCAGTAGTAAAATATACGAAACTCTAAGGCGAAGCGCCAAATCTGATTTTAGGCGAATTTGGTGCAACTGTTGTTACGCTAATTCGAAGTCAACATGCCAGTATGTACGAACGTGCAGGTTTCGTGTTGAACTGTTTGTTACTCAAAAGTTCACCCGAAAACACGAAAAGACAGTGCTTGCGGAAGACACCGTCACCATCGGTTCAACGCTTTCATGAAATCCAAAGGGTTGAGAAAACGTTAAGGTAAATTCTGTTCTGTAAAATTTTCTGTTGCAGCTACAGAACATATACAGACCAATGACCGACCTCTTGTTGCATTTGTGCGAATGAATATACAGTGATGTTGAACAGTGTAGCTTCACTGAGGTGCACGATCGTGAGAAACATGAGCGTTAACAGGCAAGCACGCAGCAAATAGCCTTCAAACACCAATTCGATCTATACTTGGAGAGTGCTGCCGTAAACAAATTAGAAGAGACGCCACTTCTCCGCGAACTGTTGTCGCTTCCACTGCGCGTCTGTTTTTAAGACACGCGAAACGTATGACGCAGACACCAGACAAGAGTTTCATATTGCCGCACTCCCTTCTCAAGTTTCATGCTATCGCGCCATTCCACGTGTAAATGCTGCCTTGCGCAGACCGTGCCGAATCACTAAGAACCTTGGAAGTTATCTTAGAACCTTCTGATAAGATCACGCGCACAACGAGAACAATACAGTTTCTTTTGGAACCTACGTGGCCGCTAGGGATAACTCTGGAATCTAGGTACCAATGCCGACACGCTTCCCCCACTTGTCACTTTTATCGATAACCGATACTCTGCACACCATCAGCTCGCATTGCTAATTCTAGTTTGAGTTTACATTTCCCCGGCCACAAGTTCGGCCAATTAAAGGGTTTCATTTTGGACACGCCATCTCTGCGTTCGTCTACCTCAGCACCACGTGACAGGAAAGGCTCACGGGTAGTACCACGTGCAGAACTGTGTTCGTTGATTTTGTGTGTAACACACACATACCCATATGAAAGCAAATGGAAAAGCGGTATTTTGCAGGGGAGCGGTAGACCATCAGGATTGGTTTCGGTGCCACCATATTGGGCCGTTAAACCTACCTCTTCGCACCTATTTCCCTTTCACGTATACACATAAAGCTCGTTAAATTGGTGCATTAGATGTTTCCTAGCCTATAGGATGGTGCTACTCGTGGCATACCTCGATTGTCATTGCGAGTGGCCGGCGACACGTCATCAGCTACCATTTTGTATCAGCATTATAAATAAGGCGCGCCTGCCTCAGTATACAATTATAGTTTACCAGGCTTAGCGTGATAGCGGGCTTACCGGGATGAAAGTGTGCATGCGCAGCGTTTTACGCACGCATACCTCTCACCGTACGCGCGCTAGTTTTCAGGTTCAACATTACCGCCTTACCATGGTTCACGTAGTGTACGTAAAACATGGCGCTGCTTTCGGACGCCCACTTTCAAGTTATTTTGGCGTTGTTGTTGAAAGATTCACTTCGTTTGTAGAAAACTACTGTTTAAAATGGCTTAGCTTGCGTTCAGTTAGCTTCAATGACTAAGTATTAAGGATAAGTTAGCGTAGTTTTTGAGATAGCTTTCAATTTCGAAGGTCTCTAAGCCTAACTAGAAGGTCGATGTAAACAAATTGGCAACACAAATGTTTTCGCGTTTGGTGCGTGGTTAATAATTATTTACTTTTATTATTACTGAAAAAACTTGTATTAATGTTTCGCGCGTTCACACAGGCAAAAATTCTTGTTTTCTTTCCTTTTCACTGTTCTTCACCTTAGCACACTCCGATAGGTGGCGTCACCGTCCCAGCTGGGGCACGCTATACTGAGGAGGAAGTGCCTCGGAACCACGGCAAGTTTTCCTTTTTCTTCCCTAAAGCAGCACCAGCGAATCCGCCCACGTCAGGTTTGAGGCTATTAGTCACGCGCGCGTGTGCTCCCGCTCATATTGCTAACAATTACACATTTATTTTTGGCACGAGCCCTTACACGTGTCTTTCGTGGCTTTTCCGAAATAATTGAACTCCCCCTTTAGATACTTACTCGGCATAATGCCAAGTTTGCCCACAACAGAGGCCACTCACTTCTTCAGAATGTACACAGTGAGAGTGATGATGATGAGAAGGAGGGATCCCAGCAGGGCACCGAAGACCGCCATGAGCACGAAGCTGCCTTCATCCCGTCTTGGTGCCAACGCCCCGCTGCTTAGCACCAGAGCTTCGGGGAACTCCACTTCTACCAGCGCCGTGGACTTTCGAGGAGGAACGCCGCTGTCCGTGGCCACGACCACGAGGTGCGACCGCGTGGAGTTCAGGTACTCCAGGTCACGGATGCGTACCTGAAGGACGACCACACATATCTGAGCGAACAACTGTTACCACGATGCGATGTTCATGCGCCAGAATATGGCAAGTATTGGAGCTTTATTATTCTACATGTAAACTGCTCACAGAGTACTAATATCGGCCTGTAGTACTTAAGAGATAAAAACAGAAGCAGTAAGAAAAATATAAAAAAGCAAAGAGGCAACGACACTTGTGTACCACAGCACCCAATATTACACTGGTAAAAAAAGTAAAGTCTACAAAATGAAGAATAGCATCAGTCGCCCTTAAGGGGACACAAAGCTGAATTACAAGTGACCACATCGGGCAGTGCATTTGGAACACTGTACGCGTAAAGCAATAACGATTTATTTTTCTTGGTGTTAGCGATGAATGTGGCATCTCTTTCCCAGCGTCATGCTGGTTTAACACTTCCGACGTCGCAACGACGACAAGAAAGGCTTCGTACGTTGTATCAACGACAGATATCATAGCGAGTCCTCTGTAGTTAATTCACGTCCACAAGATTCGCTTGTCACATTGGCAGGTGAATGGCCAAAACCATGCAGACTACAAGAGACAAGCAAACACGTGAATAGACAAGTCCAGCTTCCAGCGTTTTTAACTATGCCACGCGGACGTATACCGCTTTAGAGTTACTGTATATGCTACCTTTAGCTAGCAGAGTCGCGCCAAGGTACGCCATGTTAGGCTTCGTGTATATATGCAGAAAAGCCACTCTCTGTCTTCGTATGAACCACGCTCGCGGAAAGTTGCGAAGGTTTTCGTTTGTTTTTGCTGTCTTTTTATTTTTTGAAATACTAGTAAAACTACGTCGGTTGGCTCATGATTACGAGCTGCGAATTTACAATGATGCTCGCGGTAGTATTGCGTCAAATAATGCGAGTGTCAAACATAAACAAAAGTTTTAAAACTGTTGAACAATTATCGATCTTGGCTCTTCAATTTAGCATTCAGCTGATGATCATGATATCTTTCCGCCACGTTTCGCTTTCTCTCACTAACTGCAGAAAGGGGCAAACTTTAGTCGAGAATGTTTGACCCAATCGGGCTCGACAGCGATGAACATGCATACTTGGCGCGCATGTTATGCGATCATGCGCGACTAACAAATCTGAAATATGTGAATGCGCGAAACAAGCTTGTTGTCACGTTCAACACTGCTCTAAGTATGAAACTTGAGTTTAACTGAGGTAACTAAATAAAGAATCACATGCAAACCTCAATTTTTTTAGGGGGGGGGGGTTGTAAGGTTACCAAAAAGAGATAGCTCGGCTCGTGCTTACGAGCTGTGATCTTACGCTAATGCTACCACATCAGCTGCACCGCGTTCTTCATTTGAATGATTCCAGTAAAACTTCTTGGTCGCATTTCGGGCATCATAAGCCAATTTAAGTGTGTTGTATGCATAGCTCAGCGAAAATTGTGGAGCTCACTCAGATTTACGGCTTGATTTGAGTCCAAGTGAGTGGATTCATGGGCGAGTTCACCGACGTCTGGCTGTATGTGTCAAGGAGGCGACGCACACTGGTGACTAAAACTACATATGCATTTCGCATTTATTTTACTTATGTTGTTCAGTGCACATTCAATTGTGCATACTTTGCAGTACCATAATCTTTATTTTTGCCTATTCAACACAATTTTATTATTGTGGAAACACCTGCTGTAAAAGATTGTTATTTCCGAGTGACTGGACGGCAACAAAGTGCAGCTTGTTACAATTAATTCAGGATATCTATAGCACATGTCCAAGAAATATGCAGCCCCATTTTATCACACTTCTCGCACATTATAATTACGGATTCTCACGACGAAGAAGCCACTGGAGTCGGCGGCGTGTATCCAGCATAGCGTAAAACGGTGCCGCGAGCTTGCCGTGAGGCAAAGCTCGAGGCACCGTCTTCCAATTTTCGTTTGGGCTGGGAGAGTTTGTCGCCCAGCATTTTGTCATATAGGAAAGGAGCTACCAGTGTGTGGTATTACATCGGTGCAATTGAGGTGCATGTTAAAGCGCACCAGATGATAGAAATCATCCCGAACCTTCCGCTATACGACGTTCTTTTTTTTTTCTTTTGAGCATCTTCGAGACGTTTAAACATAAAACCAATCATTGGTTCTGCATTCAGCAAATATTGCACTCTAGATCACACGTATTTCGACAAGCAGAATTGTTGTGTTTGGCGGGCCACCTTTTTGCAGTGGCCGCCGGAACGGAAGGCAGCCGCCTCATTTTGTGGAGATAAGAAGCAGCGCCATGACGCCCTGCTGTTTCCATGTGCTGGGCGCTGCGTGGCTGAAATTACTCTACGGAGCACCGCTGTCCTTCGGGTCCACGCAGGGATGCGACACGTGGAGTCTTCGTGCTCCGGTAAAAGCCACAATGCCGAGCTTCCGCCGATTACCGACGTCGGACCAACACCCTGCGCGTCTCTGACTGATGAGCCGCCGACGCTCAAATCAGTACCAGATGTCCATGCCTAGCTCCTCGAAGGCGGCAGCTTGGGCTGGTTGGTATGGCATGCAGAAAACACGAGTGCTCGGACGAGCGCTCGTGTCTTTCGTGTCTTTCGTGTCCTTCTTGTCTCTGTGTCGTCGTTTTGTTCTCGCGCTATAACTATCATCTTCGAAGGCGCCTAGACCACGACTGCCATACGACAAAGCATGGGTGGTCCGCCCGAGCACCGAGATGACAGACTCGTTACACTCCGCTCAAGGAAGATTCGCCGAAGGAGGCACTGGCATCGCCGGGACCATACACGTGCTTGGTTTGTGTATGTGTGTTTGTTGGGGGCGGTGCCAGCATAATGACACTCGTGTGCGCTGCGGACATGTTATTGGACAGTGCCGTATTGATCTACTCCCCGATCTAAGGATCTGGGGCGATGAAACTGTATTTAATCAGCCCTCGCGGGCTTAGGGTGGTTCACGGAGGTTGTTCAACAGACAGCCTTTTTCAATGTATAGCTTCGGGCCAGAGAGCCCGTGCCATGTAAATAATGTAAATAAACCATATCTACGAAGTTCAACCTTCTCCTGCCTCGACATCTTGATCCCGGATCTCCGGTGCCGCAAACCCCGGTCGCAACAGAATTAAAGCAGCAGCAGCAGCGAGAGTAATAACAGTACCAATGCCCGATGTCATTACACTTGGACGGCTGGTACCTGCAGTGTGTTGGCATTGCCTGCAAAGGGTCGGCTTTTCAGCAGCGCAGAGGAGCCACTTCTAACAACGTGATGAAACTCGGCATATAGTGGCGCTGGGACACGTGGAGGCCGTGCGAGTGCTGCCCAGAAAACATTGGCGGAACTCTGCTACCGAGAGGTAGCGCATACAGTAACTCTAGACCCCCCGAAGTATCAGCGTTTTACAACGGCGATAATCAGGTGCACAAAGCAGCACTGTAAGGCGCTAATGTGAGGCGCTAGGCGCCGTTGTCAGGTGCCGATACTGCGCGTGCGGTCGACGCTCGTGCGGTATTAAAAACGCTGGAGGCTGTAGGTATACCTTGCCTCATTAGGGCGTATCACATGCCCTGGTATATGGCTCGCACTGTGCGCCTCTAAACTCTGCTTTTTTTCATATGTTAGAGTACCGGTTTTTCTCGGGCACGATCACAACGAGCATGCCCCTCGTTTCGACGGCTGCGTGTTGTGGCTGTGGTGGTTCATTTTACACTCACCTCGCCACGGTTGTTGATCGTGAAGAGGCGCGCTGACGGCCCGTCTATGGCCAGCTGGACCAAGTCACCGGCGTCGGCGTCCGATGCCTCGACTCGACCCACGAGCGCCCCCTGGCGCACGGCATCAGGTTCGGTGAGTACGAATGAATAACGTGGTTGGCTGAACTGCGGGTCGTTGTCGTTCACATCCAACACGCTCACGTTGACGCGAGCGACGTCACTGTGCTTGCCATCGGTGGCGAGAACCTGCGGAAATAATAGGGTGACACGATGGTAAACGGCAGTAGTTTAGGCCTAGAATTGTTCAGCCGGCCATCTGTCAAGGCACCCAGTATGGCACGCTTTTAGGAAGCGCATTAGGACACGAGCTCTCTCTGAAGAAGCTATTACTAATCGCGCATCATACAGCCACTTTCAAGGTTGTGGTAAGCTTTATCTACACTTTTCCGGATCAGTGTACGACCTCAAGAATATTTTGAATGTGAATCTTCGCATTGTCACTAGATCAACAGCTTATCTATTGCAGCACTGGTCGAGGCTGCAGCAAGAAGGCTCCAACTCCAAATTTGCGTCCTAAAGATTGAAGCTTTTTATGTGGTGATAAAACTGAAACTATAAAAACGACGCACACAAAGCTGTGTCAGGTTTTATCTAATAATCTTGCCATCAGACTGCACTTTTCCCTTCCTTCTTGCAAAACTAGTGCGATCTAATAGATTTCAATAAAGTTTTTCCATAAATCCATCTGCTATTCAGAAAAAGGCAATTATTCGCTTGGCGATCAACATGTGTGGATGGGTGCCCTGTGGAGTCATTGCGCAATACCACCTTCAGTCACGAATGATGATGCGCTATCAGAAACGTGTCAAGTTCGGGTGGCATGATATCAAGACACTCAGTGGTACTCCTCAAGTAAAAATTGAAGGAAAGCGTTGGTTTGTATGAGTTTTGTATTAAATTTAATGAGTGTGTAACTAATTATCTAATTATTCTTCTACCGGTTAGCTTCAGTACTTGCATAAAAAATCCCTAGTAGGCCGAAATGCACGCACTGTTTTTGTTTTATTTGTTTCGAGCGAAGAAGAACTTTTCAAGTTAGTCTTCGAACGCGTCACGTCGAACAATTGTCGAGTATGGTAGTGTATCCAGCAAAGTGATCATCTGAGACAATACGCACAGTAATTTTCTTAAATGATTGCCAGATGTCCACTTAGGAGAACTGCATAAATGTGCACAAGAAATTTCAAGAAATTTGGTGAAACACGCGGTGCGTGACGTGCCATTGAATTTGGCAGGTATACATTTGTACTCACCGTAACTAAAAGGGGGCGGTTTTTTCATGGTTTGTATATAAAGATGAGCGACAGAAAACCACGCAAAACAAAAGAAAACAACAAGACATAAGAGAGAAATACAACCTACAACTTGAAAATTATAGCGGATACATTGTGTCATCAAGAAGCCAATTTGCGCAGTTTGCATGAACGGTACGTATTAAAATTGCGGAGGCTGCGATTTTAGTCGAGACAAAGTCTGTAGACCACTGTCAATTCACTAGACTGACCTGTAGCATGTAGAGTTGCTTGGTCTCGTAGTCGAGCGGTTGTGCGAGGATAAGCTCGCCGGAAGCGTGGATAGCGAATGAGCCAGCGTCCCCGCTGCCGTCGTCCATGAGTTCGAATCGGACACCGCCCTTGTCGGCAGCGCCGCGAGTTGTCTGCACCGTCAGCACCGCTTGGCCAGGCGGGGTGCTCTCCAGCACACGTGCCTCGTACTCGTCCTGATTGAAATTGAGAAGAGATACGCAAGTTCCCACATAATTATTCTGCCCAGTTGACTAACCTTACGTCCAGCTCCAGTGATGGCATTAGTTCATTCGCGTTGGTAATTACCATACAGCTAGATAACCGAAAACTCCAATTTTACATACATGCAAACTTAAGGGTGTCACACGAAAAGTTATTCGTGGTACGATTGTCCCACACACACACGCACATACACACGTACCAAAATGAACTGAACATGTGGCGGAAAGCTTCGGAAGCTCGGACACAACACCATGAACGGCTTTGAGAACATGCGAATTTGTTGAAATTGGTGTTGCGAGCAATTATGCCACACATTGTGCCAAGCATTGGTGTGCCCCCACCTTCTCAAACGTTGTCCTTCTAGAAACGATAGGAGGGGATAGAAGAGACGAGAACAGAGCGCTCTTCTATCCCCTCTTGTCGTTTGAGTTGTTAAGCACTTTCTTTGTCTACCATGCAGTACTAACCAGTTCAAACAAGCACTTTGTTAAAGTTGTCGTCCTGAAACGCTATCGTGACAGGAGCGCTATGGAAAATCTGTAAAGTCTTTAGTTTTATTATGAGTCAAAGGGATGACCATTGTGTAAGCGTGCCGCCGTGGGAATTACTAGACAGGTATGTTCCCTATCGGACGTCATTCTCTTTATGGAAATGCCAAGTAATCTGTGTTCATGCTTCCTTTATTTATTTTTTTCCTTTGTATATACACGCTTGGAAGTCAGCACGCATGCTCACATTTTCTATATTCTTCCTTTTGGGTTTGCGCTTTCCTTCTTTGAGATAAAAAAAGGGTGAGGCTCCTATATATCAAACAGAGGTTACACGCCGTGATTTTCATGCACTGAAACCGCTCACAATTCAGTTCAGTTCAGTTCAGTTTTATTTCCTTAAAGGCCCCCATTCAGGGGGTGTTACATAAGGGGTGGGATTACAATTCAAACAGCGGAGATTCAATTAACATTGCAAACAAAAAATTGAATTAACATGGCAGATGATCGGTGAGGCGTTCCAGGAAGGTAGATGATGAGGCAATTGTGACAATGTCGTAGGGCAGGCCGTTCCAGTCTGAAGCTGCTCTGAGGAAAAACGATGCAGCAAACGTAGTGGTGCGTGATGGCGGGCGGGCAACTTGAAGTGAATGACTGGTGCGGTGGGAAATGCGTGAGGCGGCTGTTATATAAGGAGCTTGATTGAGTGAAGAATAAAAAAACTTATGATAAAGAGTTAGGCTAGCAATGCGGCGACGATAAGAAAGGAGTGATAGGCCAGATTCATGTTTCAATGGTGAAATGCTGATGTCATATGAATATGAGGAATGGATGAAACGGGTGGCCCGATTTTGAACACCTTCCAAGGCAGTGATTAGGTATGCTTGATGGGGGCTCCAGATGGCAGATGCGTATTCTAATTTTGGTCTTATAAGCGATTTATACGCGAGTAATCTAACATGTGGTGGGGAAAGGCGAAGGTGGCGTTTAAGAAAACCCAGTGTTTTGTTCGATGCTGAAATGATGTTTGTAATATGGGCGCGCCATGATAAATTAGAACAAAGGGTGACTCCTAGATATTTATACGATTCTACTAATTCGATACATGATTTAGAAATAGAATACTGAAAGCGAGAGGGATTGTGACGACGAGAGAAGGACAAGAGTTTGCATTTAGTGGGGTTGAGAGTCATTAGCCAAATATTACACCAGTTTATTATATTGTTAAGGTTGCTCTGAAGGATGTGATGGTCATGACAATTAGTAATAGTATGATAGATTACGCAATCGTCAGCGAACATGCGAATGTTACAGGAAACATGCAATGGTAAGTCATTAATATATATTAGGAATAGGAGAGGACCGAGAACAGACCCTTGTGGGACGCCTGAGGTGACTGGGAGTGGTTTAGACAGGTGGCCGTTAAGATAGACAGATTGCGAGCGGTTAGTTAGAAACTCCTCAAGCCACCTGAAGATGTTAGGATGCAAGTTTAGTTTTGAAAGTTTCAGTAACAGACGCTGGTGAGGAACCTTGTCGAAAGCTTTTGCAAAATCAAGGAATATTGAGTCGGTTTGGATATTACAGTCGAGATTAGTCTGTAGGTCATGAACGAATTGTGCTAATTGGGTTTCGCAAGAAAGGCCCTTTCGAAATCCGTGCTGTGAAGGATGAAAAAATTCGTTGGAGTCCAAAAAATTGAAGATTTGTGAGTAGATGACGTGTTCCATGATCTTACAAGGCACGCTGGTTAATGAAATGGGGCGGTAGTTCAAGGGTGAGTTTCTGTTACCTGATTTGTAGACTGGAACGACCTTACCCGTTTTCCAATCATCCGGCATGATTCCTGAGGTGAGTGACTGTGAGAAGATAAGACATAAGTATGCTGCGCAAGTCGATTTCACATTCTTGAGGAGTTTCGAGTTGATGGAATCCATACCAGCTGATGAAGAAAGTTTTAATTTGTGGATTATAGATGAAATGCCTTCTTCGAAGAAGGTGACAGCAGGCATGAAAGTTTCTACGCTAAATGATGGCGACTGTGAGGGCATGTCAAGTTCAGTAGTGAAGACAGATGCGAATGCTTCGTTGAATATTTCTGCGCAATCATGGTCAGTCACTGTCTCGTGTGAATCATTCGTTAGTTTAATATCGGAAGGATGTGTGGGGTTTAGAACTTGCCAGAATTGCTTGGGGTTCCTGATTAAGAGATTAGGTAAGTCTATATGGTAAAACGAGTATTTAGCTTTACGAACAGATAGCAAATATGATTTTTCAGCTTCGATGTATTTTTGCCATGCAGTAGGCTTGCCGTTGCGTTTGGCGGTACGAAAAAGTCGTTTCTTTTTGTTTTCAAGTTTTTTTAAATGCCGAGAAAACCATGGTTTATTGCGGTTAGTTTGAAAAGTAATCTTCGGGATAAACACCTCAGAGAGGTGATTTACTTTGTCCTTAAAGATCAACCAGTTGTCATGAACTGAGCGCGTGTGAAATGTAGATTCATACTGATTAAAAGAGTTACTGAGATCTTCAGATATTGCACTATAGTTACCCTTATCATAAAGAACAATTGTTTTATTAGTCGTCTGTTTTTTGGTCGAGGTAAATGAAAATAAAGCATGTATGACCTTGTGGTCGCTGATCTCAGGAAGGTAAGTAATAGATAATAGGTTTTCGGGGCTATTGGTTAATATCAGGTCGAGAATATTTGCTGATCCTCGTGTGACACGGGTTGGTTGGGCGACTAATTGTGTAAGGTTAAAGTTGAGACATACATCGAGGAAGTTTTTCGCCTCTGCGTGACATGATAATGTAGAAGTAACTATGTTTTGCCAGTCAATATTAGGGTAGTTAAAATCACCGAACAGAAGAATGCGAGCCTTTGGGTAAGCGGAAGTAAGTTTTTGAATGGAATTGTTCAGATGACATGGAAAATTTGGATCCGTTTGCGGGGGCCTGTAGCAGACGCCAAGTAGGACAGTTACGGTGTTAGTACGACAAATTAGCCACAGGGATTCGGTATCGGAATCGACGTTAACAACGGAGCAAGATATGCCCCGATGAACTGCGATAAGTACTCCGCCCCCCCGTGAGCCATTTCGGTCATTTCGGTACACGTGGAAGTCCTGTAAGTCAGTTAATATTTCCGCATCCGTTATATCGCTGGTAAGCCACGTTTCTGTTAATACGAGTATGTTGCTTTTTGATGACGAGATAATGTTGGATATGAGTTCACGTTTTGGAAGAAGGCTACGTATGTTAGTGAATATTACGGAAAACGAGAGAACATGACATGGGGAGGCCGTTTGGCGTTTTATTGCTCTTTGTTGGCGGGGTAACCGCTATGCAATTTCCTTAACCATGTGTGATGATGCGTCAAATATATAGCGCTTCGACCCGACGTCATCTATCAATGACGCACTTTCTAACTATACAGGAAATCGGCAATGCAGATTCGAGGCTACAAGTCTCCAAATCAAGCGTTGTTCGAAAATTGTTACAGCTGGCAGTGCTACTTTGATAGCGATTTGCTAAATCGTTGCCAGCATCCCCAGCCCACAGCTCATCTGGTGACACAGCACTCACCTGGAGGAAGTGGAGCTCATGGGGCGGAAACCTGTCGGCAGTGAGCGTGAGCGTGGTGAGCGTGAACCGATCCGGGTTGTCGTGCTGCGTGGCTCGCACCACCAACGTCACGGGCAACGCGAATCCTTCGGGCAGCGGCCTCACCAGGGACACGTGACCTGTCTGCGGGTGCAGGTCGAAGTAGGAGTACTCGGGCGCATCTGCGTCAGAAGGGTAGCAAATCGTAAAAGTCAATGAATGCGAATTTAAAAATTGGCCCCGTATGTGCATGACACACTGCGAATGTCGTCGAAAGACGATAGTCTTGCGTCTGGAGAGAGTGAACAAAACGTTTATTTGATGATCTGCACAAGAAAATTGGTCAATGGTATTCTGGAGGCACTGCGTTAGAGTGCCTCGAGCATGCAGCAGAGGCGAACGAGCGCATCAAGTCACGTTACACGTGAGACATGAGCGCCATCTGGCAGTTTTCTCGGAAAATGAAACGCGTGACTCTGAGACGGGCGTGCGCGCCCGTCTCAGAGGTTATAAGGTGTAGAACGCAAGGCTACGAGTAGGTGCCACCACCGTGTCGTCTTAGCAAAGCATTGGAAACACTCGCCTTTTCGTGCAAGCGTTGCATGGTCAGCGCAGCGTGATAAACGCTACGGTCCTTAGAATTAGTTATGTATGCCTTTTCTAGTAAAGTACGCGCACACAGAATAAATACGTGTTGTTATGGTGCCTCAGATATGCGCAATAATTGCTTTTCAATTAACAATTGCGCAAGTGTAAATGCTAAACCTTGAGCAATATGATTGGGTGATGTGGATGGGGTCGGTCGTTTGGAGTATCATTTGTTGCTATTGAAGGTATCGTTAAGGGCAGACAAACAGACAAATGCACAGACAGACAAAAATATTTTTGTTGAAGGCCCCAAGAAAGACTATCGTCTTTAAAAAGCTGCCATGGTTTAATGTATGTCAAAGAACACGCATACGTGCGATCAGACGCCTCGCTGCGGTGGTCTAGTGGCTAAGGTACTCGGCTGCTGACCCACAGGTCGCGGGATCAAATTCCGGCTGCGGCGGCTGCATTTTCGGTGTGTGTGCTCAGATTTGGGTGCACGTTAAAGAACCCCAGGCGGTCGAAATTTCCTGAGCCCTCCACTACGGCGTCTCTCATAATCATATCGTGGTCCTGGGGCGTTAAACCCCACATATATATCTAACGGCTGCAACAAAATTTATCTAGTGTAGGATCAATTCTATCTAGCGTAAGATTCAACTGCCAGGCAATGAAAAGATTGTTCTATAGTTAGCGCCGGCGTTTGTAAATGGTGGATATTTTAGTGAAAGCAGATTGTGTAAAAAAGCGAACGTGCATAATTTCTCTTTGTCTCCGTAAACATCCATAGCAACGTGTCTAACTGTCTGCTTTGTGGAACATTTTGTATCTGGACTCCATATGTAAACTAAATCTAGCCATACTGCATTAAAAATGGACACCTCATCAAAACTAATATCTCACCTGAATTGAAGGTGTACTTGATGGGGGCCCTGATTTCTTCATCAGGGTCTTCAGCTTCGATCTTGCTTGGCTTCACGTCGAGTGGCGTGCCCTGAAACAGATGGCCAGTATTTACACGTGTTTCGTGTGGCAGGGAAGTGATACGACAAATGACTGCACCCAAATAAAAGATATTCAACATGAATATAATAGCATGACCGTCCGACATGTCAAAAATATCAGCACATCGCGCGGTTCTGCTGGTAAAAGTAGCTAGCAGGTCTTAAGCAATGAAACAGTTTTGTAGCCACAAGTGTGTTATAAACGATGATTTCGTGCTGTGAAACACCTTGAATCTTTACATGCGTGCATCCCACGGGTTAGCTCCAATCTTAGAGTTGGCCCCTTCTATCGATCGCATGAGCATCCTTAAATCCAACAGGAGAAGCAGCAATAGCTTCACCTAAACTGAGTTTTAGCATTGTCTTCCTAGTTTTTGTTCTGAATAATTTACATTTCAATTGAGCATCTGAGTACAGCACATCGCATTTAGTGCGTTTACTTCCAAATAGCAAAAATTGCAGTGACATGAGGTGCAGAACTGTTTGGGGCTCTGCGCAAGGTAAGAAAAAAAAAATGGCAGCATATCCACGGAGTGAATGATGGAGAGTGGGGCGAAGAATCCGTCCGTCCAAGCGTCCGCCTGTGTGACCGTCCGTACGTCCATTCGCCCGTCAGTGCGTGCGTCTGTTCGTGCGTCCGCACGTCTATCTGTGCGTCTGTCCCTGCATTCGTCCATGAATCCGCCCCTGCGTCCGTCCATACATCCATCCGTCGGTGCAGCCATCCGTGAGTCCATCCATGCATCTGTCTGTGAGTCCGTTCGTCCATCTATTCAACACTCCAAGTACCACCATCTCGCATCTTTTCATCATATATTCCACATATGCACCGCCATCCAGCGGACATTCCAAGGACTAAACGATAAGTGGCACACGCACACTTTCTTACGGCTTGCGTTTCGTGTCCACTTCCCACCTTTAACCACCTCGAGTCATGGTATATACTAGTTCACTGTATTCATGGCACTGCGGCCCAACGCTCGCTAAGCCTTTCTAAAACCAAGGGGGTTATGCCAAGCGAGTATAACGTAGCAACCCTTTCTTGTCAGATAGTGCTCAACATAGATGCCAATGGCTGCTCAGGGGGAATGAGAGACAGGAGAAATCGACTTTTAGTTAACGCGCACGCTGCGAATTTTTTATTGTTCAACAACGCACAGAAGAAATCTCTCACCGGACCACCTCGGAGGTCAAAATGTAAGACTGGTTACACACTACGACTACTACTACGAGGGACAAACGGGAGCCGCTATAAGGAGCTTCGCCCCTAAAAGAACTTTTAAAGGCACTACTAGTGGGTATTATTTCGCAGCTGAACGAGCGGCCAAATTTCGACGCCTTAGTAGAAGGAACGGCACACAAAGAAAAAGAAGTAGATTAGAGCCGTCTTCTTTAGTTGTCCGTGCAAACCTGGCAGCACGTATTAAATCAAGTAGCCTGTGGAAACCTGGCAGTGTCTATACATTTTAGTGTGCTCACAGTTATTCCTTCCTAAGACTTGAATAGATTGCAGTAAGCTACTTGCATCATTAGTAACCATCATTGCCTCGACTCGTTTTAAGTATGCTAATAAACTTGCAATCGTGAATTGTATAAACGGGCGTATTGTCGGCTGTTTTGTGTATTCTTTGTGTCTTGAGTTCAGTTGTATTTTAAGGTAACTTAGTTTTGGGCAATATTTCCTATTATATTTACCTTCAAGGTAGCATGTTTACATATTCCTGTATTTATTTTTCTATTTAACTATACCTCCGCTCCTCCCCTCTATAATGTACAAAAGTACCCTGAAGGTTTCACAAAAAGTAAACAAACATGCATAAATAAATGAATAAGTAATAAGCTTCTTTTGCACCATATAAGCGAGAGAAGCAACATCACCAATACTAAACCCAGCGTCTTCCTTGAAAAAAGTCGGTTACATTCCCGGTGCTAAAATTGTTATGAGAACCGCGTGCATTGTGAAATCAGCTGCAGTAGGTTTATTTTCCATACAGATTCGCTTGCGTTATTCGGAACAAAGAGTAATGTATGCGCAAAGTTGCTGAAAGTGACGTCCAATGTTAACGAATCCTGATTAGAACTTCAACGTTGAAACCGTTATTTAGGCCAGCAGATACGCTTCAACTACGTCGGCACCAAGGCGGACTTCTATACACTAGTTGTCTCTAAAAAAATTGAAGTAAGCAAACACAAGCAAACGGCGTTGTGCTGGCAGCGTTTTCTTGCAGACAGTCGCTCCGTTACACACACGCTTTCTTAAAATTTGTTCAGCAGTATTATAGTTCGCAGAACAAATTTACTTGCAGGAATAACGATTTACGACATTGTGCGAAATACCATTCGATGCTTCGGGGTTGGGGATTAGTTGTATACTTGTGAGATGGCGGATGCGCGTCAGTAAGCTTCACTTCCACTTTAATAGGCTACAAGTTGAAGTGTATCGCAGGCACAAAGGTGAACTTGGCGCGCATAGAGCGGCGTTTCCAAACGTGATAGCGAAAACAAAAATGACAGTAGATCGAGCATGTCCTTTGGTAGTTTACATAAATATCAGCTTTTTTTTGTGACTTATGCAAGCCCAGTTCACGCACTGGCTCCACTTGTGCTGCTCGTAGCCGTTGAGACTGGGACAACGCATCACCTCGGCTAGGCCTAATTGTTCCATAAAAAAGTCTTTCTATGACAAAAAGAAAAAAAAAGTCACAGTTTCGGCGAAGCAATGATTGCGATTGCAAGATATTTGAATGTTTTACGAAGCAAGGTTAGCATTTTTAGGAACAATAATAAATGTAGTAAACATGCGCTTGCTAGTAACCAAGCTTCGTTCAGCGAGGCCATAGTGACAAATTGCAATGTTATACGAAGTGAGGCTGGCAGTCAACTCACTTAGATCCGATCTCACGGAGCTCTACAAAATGCTGGTGTAAGAGAACATGTTACATGGTCGCTCCAGGTGCACTTTTGGCACTGTTGTTCCGTGTTTAGAACGCAGCACGTAAAAGCTCCCGCCTGCTATGGAGGCACAAGCCGCGCGCTGATCGTTGCCGTGATAGCGCGGCAACCATCAGCGCCCCCCCCCCCCCCCATCCTCTTGTTCACTCACGAGCTAAGCGCGTGCAATAACGACCCCGGCCGAAAAGGCGATGTTCGAAGCTCGGACCCTGAGCGAAACGTCTATAAAAACTGCTTCACACGCGTGTTTGTTTTAACTTTTCCGCAGCCGAGACTACCCTTGCGAGATTGAAACAAGAGTGACGCGTGCCTCGCCTTCCAAGCTGTCTCCAGCAGCGCGTATCCAGGAGATCAGCGCGCCACCGAGAGACCAGGCGACGCCTACGGCCAAACGGTGCGCGAGACGCGGTCGCTGCAGCCGGAGGCCTCTCCCGGCGACAAAGCGAATCGGCGGCGGGGGTAACGTTCGCGACCGAAGGTCATCCTCAGATATGCCTCAGGTCACGGTCCGGGTGTCGCGAAGAAAGGACGCCCAGCACGCCCTCTTCGCCGAGGGCGCTCAAGCGCGGGCCCACGGGCCACTGAGTCGAGCGGGTGGAGATTGGCTCGCGACCATCCTTGTTCACGCTGCACACGCGAGAAGACGACGCGGTGTCGGGTTCGTTGAGAGCACGCTTCCGAATACACTGTCTATATGAGTGGCCAAGGGCTCCGGCTACGCTGTCTGCTCCTGCTCCACACTTCGAGTAAAGAAATTACGCCGCGTTTTGGTGGACATACCAACAATACCTAAATTCGAGCGAAGCTCACGCTGTGGCCTTTGCACCATTACAATTGCCTACCTGCCGCCATCTTCCTTTCACAGTTTAACCCCTCGGAGATTTTTTTTTCTACTTGATTTAATTACTCATTCGCTGAGTCATTGAACTAGAGCTGTAACAAATATGGTGAAGCCTGTAATGCATACTTTCTTCTTTTGCTATATAATATTTAGGACGTGTTCGCTCCTTTGTAAAGCACCGGCCACTCCTTTTTTCCGGACGCGAAAAGCACGGCTACGACATAAATTCACAAAGAAATTAACAGTTAGGCAAAGTTCATATAAGTACATTCAAGTATTAACACGAAGAAAAACACAATATACAGTCCCGTTACATAGCTCTATATTTCTCTCATGGGATGCAGTTGCACGTAGTATGCATAAATATGGGAAGCCCAAGTTGCATACTTCTTGAAGGAAACGGGAGAGAGAAGAGAGGCGTGGAGGTTACCAAGTTCAAGACAACCGGCATGCCACTCTACATTTGAAAGCATAGAATATATTTTTATGCGATGAGGTACTTGAATTGAGTAATGCATATACTTCAAATGGGGAACATTTTATAATAATAGGTACCTATAAAAACAGCTCAAAAGAATGAAACCGTGGAACAGCGAGGGGTAACATTTATTATTTTTTCACGTCGTATAATCACTCAGACGCAAGCAGCCCACAGTTTTGCGGGACCATTGATGCCATGTAATTTACAGGATGAGGATGTTTTTGCTCAAAACACCCGTGTCGCCGAAACAATAGAGTGATGAGTTCGTAACATTCATAATGTTTTGAGACATAAATATTACTTATTTTTTATATATCTGATGCGTTGAGAAGCTGCTGACAACACCACGAATACTATAGTCACTCCTGCCTTTCAACCCGTGGTTGAAAATATCTGTATAGTCGCTGCAGTGTGCGAGCTTGCCTCTGTTCACAAAACTGTGGTATCTTTTTTGCCGGGTGAAAGTAATTCTGGTGTTCTTAGGTTAAAGATAGCGAATATTGTTCGCCTTACTATATTCGAAAACTATTCGAATAGTGTTCGATTGGTATTCACATTCCAATTGTTGTCATCAAGCTATCCATTCTTGCTTAAGAAGAGGCCAATTTTACGCGTTAGCGTTAGGAATCGTCCAAGCATTTGACATAACACACAGGAGTGGTGACTTGATTACACTACAATGGATTCCGGGACACTGCGGCCTGGTTGGCAACGAAATAGCCGATAGCAAAGCGAGGGCGGCAGTATACAACGCTCCTATGTACGTCAAAGTACCGTATTCACGAAGTGACGTCAACACATTGTTGAGATCGCTCATGCGAGAATGCGCTGCCACTTACTTATCGCTACCAGATCATCGAAACAAGCGTCTGCGGGAAACAGACCCTGGTATGACTTTTCGTCTTCCAGCTAATATCAGCCGAAGACATGCTAATATACTGCACCGGATTCGCCTGGGCGTCACCTTCACTCGTCACTACACTCACCTAATCGGCCGTGCGGACAGCCCGAATTGTGAGCGCTGCCAAGTGCGCGAAACTTTAGCTCACATCTTTTGTGACTGCACATTATACGTGGCGCAAAGAAAAACGCTAACTTCAACGTTGGCAAGCATCGGACGAACACCATTGAGTGAAAGTAACATATTGTCAGTAATGAACAACCATACAGTGTCAAAAACTGCTACAAAGGCTGTTTTAAACTTTATTAAAAGCACTGGACAAGATACTGGACTGTAGGGTACTATGCTAAGTGGCTACTGTATATACGCACCACCTCTTCTTGTACACATCATCATCCTTCATCCCTCTTTTCTTCCCCCTTCCCTTATCCCCTGTGTAGAGTAGCAGGCTAGAGCGAACTAGCTCAGGCCGACCTCTCTGCCTTCTAATAAATTCTCACTCCCTCCCTCTCTCTCTCTCTCTCTCTCTCTCTCTCTAGATTCCTAGGTGCTCGACTCGGTTCTAAAATTCCCAGTTCGCACGTCTCTTGCCGACGCAATTAGCCACCGCCGTGGTGGCACAATGGTCTTGGTGCTCAGCTGCTGACTCGAAGAACACGCGTTTGATCCCGGCCACGGTGGTTGCCTGGTGATGGAAATTCAATACTAGAGGTCCACGTATACTGTGCCATTACGGTTCACATTCAAGAAACGTATGTGGTAGAAATTCTTCAGATAATTGCACTACGGCAATCTCTCACAGCCTGAGTCACATTGAGACGATAAATCTCAAAAACCAAAAAAATAAGATTGTGCAATGCAATTTTTTTCATTATTATTACACTGCCATCATCGCTCTCAGCTGCGATGACTTTTCAAGACGACATCCCACAAGACCCTGAGCTGGGATGGGATTATGGTGAAAGCTTACTGTACTAATTACGTGGCTGTATTTTTCCTCGTGCGCTGGAGTTCAAGCATCTATACCTATGCGCATAGAAGGTCGCCGGTTTACCAGACGCTTCAGCCTGGCCTGAAATCGCAGGCCTCGGAGCACCGTGACCACCACCACCACCACGGTCATTGTCGCGTAACGACGACGAAAGCCGGGGGCAACCGAGACGAGAGCAAGAACGTCGTCTCGCACGCGTGGCGGCGCAGGCATCGGGGGCGAGATGTCTTTGTTCTCCGGTTCGCAGACCATGAGGGGCGTGGCGTTAATGAAAGTTTGCGTTTCGCGAGTCGGCCCCTGACGTGAGGTGGAGTCTATCGGGAGTGCAATGCACGCGTCGTGACGTCCGGGCCACTTCTGTTTCTCGTTTGTTCAGCAGGCCCTACACTAAAGCGACGGAGGAGTTTTTATTTATTCCCTTTTGCGCCCGTATCTTTCTTTTCCTTCTCTCTATTGTGTACCGACAGCAGACAACGAAGGCGGAGGTGATGATGCAGTCCAAAGATTATTGTGTTGCCCACCAGTATGCGGCCACGCCTGATTCATGGTGTTACAAGCTCGGTCGAGCTGACGTGCCGACTTTTTTCAAGGCCACATAGTAATTAAAAAAAAGGAGTTTTAGAACAACGTTTGCAGGTGTTCTAGTCGTTGCTTTAGTTAGTGGCACCATATGAGTTTCAGAATACTGTTTGCACTCCTCCGAACCGCAACGCACGATCGGAGTGACTGTAGCCTCAAAACCAACTTTTGTGGGCCACATGCGGGTCACACACGCGCCCGCTATCTCGAATTTTTTGCGGGTGAGCCGCGAACGCGAACGGCTGCTCGCGTTATGACGCATGCGTAGTATCCGCGACCACACCGCAAGGGTTTGCGATGCGCTATTCTAAATCTACCTAATTCCACCACGTCCCGCTGTGTGTAGATGCAAACCAGCGGGCGCTAACACTTACACTGGCGGTGGCGTTGACGCTGACTCTCATCGCTGCGTTGCACAACAGAGAAACGTCGGGGTCGTTGAGCACGCAGTGATGCACAGGTGTTTTCTACTGGAGCATGCCAATCTCTGCTAATGGGCAATGAGCGACGGAAGATGCCGATCGGACACAGAGACCGGCAGTCCGCCTTTAGTTGACGCCCACGCTGCGAATTTTTATTGTTGAACAACGCACAGGAGAAATTTCACGCCGGCACTTCCTTGTAGGTCAAGTTACAGTGCCTATATTACGGAGTGGCTGGCTAGTAAACGGTTGTGCAGCGCGAGCAGTCGATTTTTTTCAATCAAGAAACGCGCGAGCCGACGCTGCCTGGGTCAGCCTTCCGAGGCGAGAGGGGGGAGCGTAGGAGAGCATAGATGGGGGAGGGGACGCACATGCGCCAATGGCCGTGTAGACACCGTGGGGAGGGATACCTAGGTGAGAGAGAGGGTGGAGCGAGCGTAGGCTAGCAGCCGATGTCTGTGTCGGCGTTCTGAGGCGAGAGAGAGGAAGGAGACGGGATGCGCATGCACAGCAAGAATGTTCACGCCGCACACCAGATTTAACTCGGCCATAAGACATATAATTCGCATCTGAAAATCGCTAAACGAAAAGAAAGTCAGAAAATCGGAGAATTTTGTTTCCGATTTAGGATCTCCCCTCCCCCCTCCCTTCCATATTACAGAACGCCCGTCGACAAGACGCATCATTTCAACTCGAGAAGGTCGATAGCAGTGCCCTCTTGTTTCAAGTCGTCACTGGGCATGGGCGGTAATTGGCACCACCTTGTGAGAAGCGCGGCGTCATTCTCTGTTAAACTGTGGCTCTGGGGTCAGCACAGTCGACTGAAACTGCCTTCAACATGAATCTTAAATGAGAATGTAGAAATAGCCCACTTAAAAGCTGCCTCTCTCTAGATAACTTTTTTGATATGGCGTTTTGCGGAAAAGTTTTCGCGTTGCGAGGGACGAGGAAACAGAATTTACGCCACGAATTATTAAATCCGAAGTAGCTTATATGATCAGGGCTTCTCCCTTGTCCGTCGTCGTAGCCACGCTAGTGCTTGGAGCGCCTACTAGATGGCTCTGCGCAAGAGCGCTCGCTCCGCTCCACCACATGCTCTGGTATGAGTGGAGACCACTGGCGGCGCTGCGTTGCTCTCTATAATTACTGTATAGTAAAAGCACTTACTCCTCTCTCTCTCATACACACAACGTACTAGTATACGAATGAAGACATGATCATGAGTGCGGTGGAGGCGAGGGCTCACAAAGCGGCTGTGTGCGTAACCATGAACGTCTACGGTGATGAATGAAGAGTTCTTCAGAGAACTTCAAGTTGTCAGGTTTCCCTTCACGCGTAGATGTGTGCGATGTTCCCACTTGCTCACTACAATAGCGTCCTTCGTGGTTCATGATTCTCTTTCACAATATATTGCAATTCCTGCCCCATGTCGTCCTTGATTCGCCACTATTCACGAAACTGACGGATTTGAAAGCAGACCTTGCTCTCGCTAGACGGTAATGTGCGACGACAATATACGACATATAGAACAAAAGCGTGCTGTTTTACATTCAAATGACATGTAAGATGGGACTGACTGATTCTGCCTGAGGACTGCAAAAGATCTTGGCGACAAGCTTTGCACATGCGCACCAGTTACATTCACTTAACGAAGCTTTTTACGTTTACGATCTCACACGAGGGCTATATAAATGGCAAAATTGGAAGGGCTTATTGCTACAGCATTCTGACACCTTCATATTCGCATGAAGGCTCTTACATGGTCTCGCTTTGTTTTCTATCGCTGCCTGTAGATTGTTGAAAGCCCACTTTCAAGAAGCATTTTTGTTGTCATAACTGCCTGCTCGCGGCCATTGGCCACACGCTTTTGCTGGGCCAATTTCATTATCAGGAAAATTGGCCGGCTAATAAAAAAGAACGCTAATGAACAAAAAAGGGGTTTTTATTCGCTATCTGCAGCCTATGTTGGTTCGTAGTTGCCTCTTTTTAAGCACCTATATACTGGTAAAAATCAGTGGGATACGAGACGGGCACACAACACGAGGACTCAGTATGACCACTGTCTAACAACAAAACAAAACGAAAACAATAACAAAAACGCAAGAAAAACAAACACTCGTGCGCATCGTTTTCAACTCGCCCATCAAAGTTGGACGATGGGCTTGTTGGTAAAGCGTGCTGTAGAGTCAAGGCTCAACGCAACTGGTGCAAGACACAAGAGAAGACGGGGTGAACAACGTCACTTGGCGTCAACGCTTATTACAAGAGAGAAAAAAAGGGCACATTTCTGTGACGATACAATAAGGTCGTAACAATTACTTTAGAAAGAGCAAGCCATCTTACCGCACGGGTGGTGTTGTGGAGCTGGACGAAGTACCTCTCGGCCAGGAACCTAGGGTTCTGATCGTCAGCGTCGTGCACCACCACCACAAGGGTGGTGTGAGAGCTCTGTGGTGGGTTTCCTTGATCCTACGCGAGAGGAGAAGGAAAGAAATTCCATGACAGCCATGACTATCGGTATGAATACTTTCTAAAATTTGCGAAATCGGTCGCAGAAGCTTGCGGAACAATTTCGCACTCAATCTAAACAACTAAACGCTTAACAACCTATTCCTCCATGAATTCCGACAGGGGGAAATATGCTTTATAGTGAAATGCCCCCCCCCCCCTCTCAGACGGGAATCATGTAGAAATACGAATGCATTCTTGCGCTGAGAGTACACAGCATAGTAATTTTAGTGGTGTAATTTAAAGATGAAACGAAGATTTGTACTGCAGCTATATATTTACACATTCATCATCAGCCAGCGAACCATCGAGAGCGAGGCGCACGCTTCGCTCTGTGTATACGTACTAGCGAGTGAATGGCAGGGTAAGGCACAGAGAAAAGAGTGAACAGCGAGAGAAGGAGTGGCAATGAACTGCACCTACCCTCTCCTACACTCTCTCCACACACGCGAGAGCACGCTGAGCTTTCGCAATACGAATGCTCTCGCCTGCTAGAGCACGTTTCTCCTCTCCACTCACTATTCGCTACTCCACCCACACCACCTGCTAGAGGCGAAGATAAGCGCGCGCGCCCGCAGATGTTGCTGTGGGAGAGGGAGTGAGAGCGAAGAGATAACACCTGCCGGCGCGCCGACACTGGCAGACGCCTGACGTGCCCTGACTAAGAAATACATTCGCATTTAAAACAGATTTGATGATTCCAGAAAAAAGAGAAATAACCAGCTCATGATACTGAGGTCACTTGATGTAATTGACAGAAAATTTGATGGGAAATGCTGAGTCTCTCGCCATATTCTGAGAGCTATGGTCATGGCGTAAGTAGGAAGGAACGAAGAACAACAAGACAGAAGGCGTAAGTAAATAACTATACTTGCGATTGAGCTTGACACTGTACCAAATGAACGCGTTTCCGCATAACTGAATGAACAAGCCGACGTATGTGCACCATTGTTCGCTATTCTGAGGCTTTTCTCGTCGGAACAGCTTCTACCTCTCCATGTAGGCTTCACCAAAATGCTGCAACTTAGGGCATGAAAGATGCAGGCGCACCACACCAGACTGCATCATGTACGTTCAGTGTTATTCCTGTACTCGCTTTTACTGTTTCCTCTTTACTCAGTACGCTATCTTCAGCATAGACAGCATTGATGGATGCATGCGGATTTGATTCGTCTGTTGTTCTTTTTTTGTTCGCCAGTACAAAGGTCTTGTGGGGTAAGAAACACGTGTCACGCATGGTGGCTTACCTGCGCCCTGAGAGTGACGGTGAACTTGGGAAGTGTCTCGTGGTCCAGCTTGTCCTGGAGTACTAGAGAACCCTCCAGCCGGTTTTCGAATGCCAATAGGTGCTGCAGTAGGGAAGTATTTAAGCACGATTGAGTGTCGCGTGGGCCGATAACTGCGAAAGTAACTTCTTTCTTTGACACACCGTGGAGTACACGCATCAGCTCACATTGTATCAAGAGGAAATGGAAGCGCTACGCTCGAGTAAAGACATAGAAACGGCAAACAACGAGACTTGTATTCACGTGACGCTTAACACCTTCTTAACAGATCATTACTGGCAATAATGAAGCCGGGCATATTGTTACCAATGCCACCAGCCATTTTTATAAAATACTAGCCAGCAAAACAAACAAACAAACAAAAAACTTGAAAACACTATAGGCGGCAAATTTCCAAAATGTTTATTTCGTAAGCGAGCTATATTTCTTACCAGTTGGCCATTGCTATCTTCAGCATTGGCATTGGTTGTTCTTACGACAGTGCCTGCGTCAGAACATTTTTCCACTACGGTTCAACGGCCCTTTTATGCAAAAAAAAAAAACGTATTAGGGCACTGTAACAAGCGTCATTGACAAAAGTGACCTGTTCGGCAGTTCGCGCTTAAAGAATCTTCGCTCATACAGTGTGTGCATCATACAAGAAATGTTTTATGTGTTGTAGTGGGAGGCTGGTGGCTATTTCGGTGTTCTTTAAAACGAGGCCGGCAACACTATTGGTTTCTGTCGTCTGGCACTTTGTGTACACAGTCACCGCTACCCGGCTTCAAAAGCGCGAGCTTTGGACATATGCACCGTATTCTTTACGCAGCTTTGCTTAGTCACTCAAACAATTTATTACTACAAGTGTACGAGAAAGAAAAAACACAAGGCACGAATAACGCCAATGCGACATTTCTGGTGAGCACGTGTGTGGCCACAGTTACTCTACTTCTATTTAATGCCGGTGAAATCACTATATTAGGTGTAGCTGCAGTCGGAAGACAGGGGATTAGTTCGTGTATATATATATGTAGTGCTTGTCCTGCCTCTAGGTTCTTCCTTGTTTGTTTTCTGAGCTATTGTGGCAGCTTTAATAACTTACTCTACGATTCTTGTAGATAACCAATTAACATGCATGACACTATGACAGCCTAATGAAATCAGGTACGTATGTATTGTCAATACGGCGTGTTGAAGTTTAGAAAAATTCTGTGATTATCACTATAGAGGTGGTAACGCATAATACAACGAAGAGCGACTTGTGACCACAAACGAAAATTGTGGGCGAGCAGCACCAGCGAAAGTTGGAGGGCACACACCTTGCATATTATATGTGACGTGCCAGTAATTTACAGGAACATGCGGTGTATAAAAGAAATAAGGCACAGTCTGCAGAAAAAGAGAGATTGATGATGTCTGTAACAAAGGTACACGTTGTTCATTCACTGTTTTTTTTTTTTTTTCATGTAGTGGAAGCAACAGACGATGAACCTTAGCAAGCGAACAAATAAACGCATGAAGGTGCCGACGTAACGCTTTTATTGCATTTGAAATCTGCGTAGCCCCCCCCCCCCCCCCCCAAAAAAAAATACATCTCTCACAAAATAGTTTTTTAAGTTTTGATTTATATATACCGACTCTAAAAGTGCTAGACAGACGTTCAGGCTTTTATTAAAAATGTCCGATCAAGCTTTGTGAAGTATTTCGTAAGCAAGAACGACAACATTACAACTATGACGTAAGCAAGGTTCATTGAGGTAATCTGCACACTGTCACTTTCATCGAATAAACAAGTGAAAGCAAGGACGAAAAGATGTCAAAGAAAACAGAGGCTGTCGTCTACGTAGCAAAATACAGACTGAAGTGCTTAATGTGTTCGAGTCAAGATAATACAGAACACAATCTACACAAAGAAGAAAACAGAGAGAATAGGCAAGCGAAAAACGAAGTAATATTGAAGCAACGAGAGAGAGGGGGAGAGGCAGGGGGAGAAAATAGCGGACGCGAAACTTACCGAGTGCTGTCCGTCTTCGACGTAGTACTCGACGGTGCTGAAGGGACCAGGCTGGTCTTTGTCTATGGCTCGAATGCCTTGCATGACTATCGTACCAGGCGCGGTGCTCTGCAAAACCAAGAAAAACAAAAAGCAAAAGAAAAGATTAGGAAAACAAGTTCTGTCATGCCTTCACACTCCCTTTGACGTCTATATACGCTTCTAGAGGATGACCCCCTTGTTTTCTGGACACTCTCTGCTGGCCAGTATACGGTGCTTGAGTCCTTTCACTACACTTCCTGGCCATGCTAGGCATCTGTAGCGAAACGCAGGTGCCGCTTCTTCTTGTACTTCTTCAAAACGCTTCCTTGCTACCAGAAGGAAAGTGCTCCATCCCTTTTGCAGCGGCTTCACGCAGACAAAAAAAAAAAAAAAACAGACTCTTTTGTATGCGTCCGAGAAAGGAGACGACGGCGATGCGCAGAACGGCTTCCGTGTTTTGTCGGAAAGCGCCCGACGCCGTCCTCCCCATCACTTGACCGCCGCCGCCGGGTTGTCTACTTCTTTGGGTTGAAAAGCTGGCGCGCGCGGCTGAACTGAAGTGCGCGCGTTGTATGCGGCTCGGTAGCGACGCGTGGCTTCATTATCTGAAATGACGTGCGAGCGCTTTCCGCGCTTTCGCTGCACGCCCGGCCTTGCTTATTCGTTGCGACAAGTCTGTTATAAACAAGTGAAGACAGATTCACAAAATCTTTTCATTTGCAGCTGCTCTTCACGACTAGCGGAAGGCCTAGGCTAATAAATAACGAGTGTATAATCAGTAGTGTCTCAAATTAACTGCAACGATCGATTCCTGCCTAAACACGTTTTTGTGAATACAGGTGCCTGAGCCCTGCGAAGTGCACAAAACTATAGCAGGGAGATCATTCGAGAAACACCACAGATATACTGAAAACTGAAATTGACTCCGCATCAACCTGGTATGTCATTTTATTTTCCAATCAGTGCTCTTCTCCGCCAGTAAGCTGGCCCCTTTGGAAGGCCGCGTATACTTAAAAGAGCAAGTATTGTTACTTACACACTAAAAGTTATTGAATATAATTATTCGCACGCTGTCTATATAGTTGACGATACCACTGTTTAGAAGTAACGGGTCAAATGTTAATCGCTTTCACATCTGCTTGTAACGTTTCTTGAATGCGGGTTCAAAGAAACCATCTTGGGCATAATATACAAAACCACTTGTTCATAACTATGTCTAATGAATGCTAAGAACGACTTTGATAGCGCAATAACACTGTTGTGCGCACACGTGCATCTCTTGTAATCTTCTTAAATTATATTTTCCACTTCGGTTACGCTTATATCAATATTGGAATTAAAAATGTTTCTTCCTCTCTTGAAGTACGGTGCAACACGCCAGCTTTTCTGCCTTTTATTGTGGCTCTCTCAAGAATGTGGCCGACGTTCATCAAAGTTAACAAGGAAGCATTAAACTGTCTTCGGAGTAGCTATACTGCGGCTTTCCACTGAGTGGGTGTATTCACTTCCACATGACGTCATCAGAGTGGGTTCAGTGCATAGAGTTCCTCACAAAATTACCTAGGGTGTGTTCCGATACTCATTGTAGACGGCTAAATAGGCAGCTAAATAGACGGCGGCTATTTTGAGTCCCATTCTGATTCTCACGTAGGCGGTAAAATAGACAGCTCCGAAAAGACGGCATCGTAGACAAATACGACGCAGGCTACATTGCTACACAAACAATATGGCGGCTCAGCTAATCGCTCAGATAGACCGGATCTCGCTAGAATGGTCGTCTGCACGCAAGCAGACGTTTCGACAATAACAAATAGTCTTTTTTTTTAGATTTCAACACGAATGAAGCGGAAAAATACAACAGTTACGTTTGTTTATTTTTCTTTTCTTTTCTCGACGCGAGGTGGCACCTCGTTGCGTAGAAGCCGTTCAGACGTGTTTCATTTCTCAGACAGCATAGGCTCGGTGCTGTCTTCTAAGCTGTCTGCGTAGGCTTTCTACGATGCTGTCTAATATTAGTAACACAGTCCTAGAGTGAAATTTGGCGCTAGTGAGCTGCTAGATACAAAGGAATGCCGGGATATCTGAGCTCCGAACTTGACTCGGATTTGTACACCTCGAAGACGCGTCCGGCTTGATATTGAAATAGTTGATTTATAACTAAAAGAACACGTAATAAGCTACACGTTTCTGTGCAATAGGCTTGTAATTGCACAGAAACGTGTTTTATTTAAAACTGGAGCTTTTTGTGTCGATGTAGATTTTTACGAAGCGTAAAAAGTAATCAACGGCCCCTAAAGTTGGCAGGCAGACGAAAAAGCGTGCGTTCTATCTGCCACTTTATGTCGTCAGTTTATTTCTTTCGCCGTTTGGTTGCGCCGTCAAGGTGAGTGGACTTTCATTTTAGAATATATTACGCCTGGGTGAGATCCACTTATAAACGTTTTGTTTTAGAGAAGCTTTATTTACGCAGTCGTATTCACTTTTGCGCAGAAGTATCGCTCAACACCAGGCAACACAAGCCTCGCAGACACATTCCCCGTGCTCCAACTGGGCCCTTTGAGAAATTCGCATACATGGTGGCGCCACATTTCCCTCTCGGTATTTTTGTCGGAAACTCTATGGTTCAGTAAATCAATGCAAGAAAAAGCGGTAAGCCATGATGCCTATAAATGCTAGCTTGATCATGCATGCTCTCGAATGCAAGCAAATACTGACGATCCCAATGCGACACCAATCTTTTCAGCATGCTGATCGCTCGAGATAAGCCCGTCATGTCTTGAAGAATCTGGTTTCTAAAGGTAATGCTGGCTATTATCCACGCCTTCGAGTCGAAATCACACCGACATGACTCCAAGTGAAGACAGTTGAAAAAAAATATGTTTGTTACTTAGCCCTTCATAGCCTCGTTTCCCTGAGTGTTGTACCTGTCTCGCTTGGTCAGTGCTGCCTGCCTTGGGACGCCACCCTTCTGTACTTTTTATTTCGTGTCTACGCCTTGCTCCCCCGTGCATGTTTGGGATGAAGAACCCGAGGCTGTCGCCAAGTGTTCCTCAAATGGGTTACATTAGCGTAGACAGCTACTTATATTTCTTATCGTTCGAGAACAACAAGGGAGCCTGACAAAGATGACAATACAACAACATGGGAGCAACACATTCATGGCACGAATGTTCACACTGCCAACAGCAACGCCATTCTGAACTTCCCCTCAAGGTATTGATGGAAGACACCAGCGTACAGTTGCCGTCGGGACAGAAAACACATCACTGTTTGAATTACCAATATGACTACTCTAACGGCACGTAATTATCACACCCCGATTCTATTGCCCCTCAGTGACTGACTCAGTTCACCACGCGTCACAGCCAAGTTCACCTTGTAGAATTTACGAGAGCAACACTCACGCCAACGAAGACCCCAATTTCCGGCTGATGCTAAAGTATTATGTTCGTTTACGAAAATTTTTTTTTCTCAACTTCATCATGGTTTATTTTGCCTGGCATCATGTACAGGGTCTGCAATTCTGAACATGATATGACAGATGGTTGAACAATGAGTAATATAGTATGTTTTGTTTGGAAGTTTCATCGTTTTTATATATATACTGTTACTTTTATTTTGCTAGATAATGTTCATGTGCTCGTAATAAACTCATTAATTACTATGGCAAGTGCTATACGTCGAACTGTACCAGCATGGTCAAGGCGAATGAAGTTCAAATTTAGGAAACGCGGCTAGTAGTGACGAGTGTTATAGCGCGAGAACAGAACGATGACAAAGGGACAAGAGAAATTTGTCGTCATTCTGTTGTCGCGGTATGTAACAATCGTCATGTCATACCAACTATCTCTTTCCGCCACGCTAGTGGTGAACGGCTACAACGTGCCACGCATAGTGTCTTCAGCCCCATGCGGAAGCGACGCCCCACCTGTGAGACGCTCGCGGACGTCCCGATCTCGAGCTATACGTGCGACTCGCGGACACGGCTGAACACACACGCCTCTTCGTGCAACGTCCTTTGCCCAGAAAAGTATCCACACGCATACGCAGTACACGACAACAGGCCAATCGGACAATGAAGTGAACAGGAACAACCAATAAAAGAGTTCCAATCTGCACCCGGCAAGGACACGCGAGTATATACGGTAAAACAATTACGCACGCGACCACGGCACGTTTGGCCAACGCCTTTCCATTGTCTCGGGAGTCGGGTGTACACCTCTGCGCAACTTAGTGTTCCTTTGAGTCTCACCGGTATTGTAGCAGCCTCGAGCAACGCACTTCGCGATGACGAAAAGGCGCGATACGTACCAGCAACTTTCCCGCATGCGCGGTCTGTGCTTCGTGATGAATGCGCAGCCCAAACAAAGGGGTGTTAATCAGGGCGCCACCCATCTTGCTGGTGGCATATAATCATGTTGCACGTATGCGCTTTCGAGAAAGGCAGCTCTGTCTCGGCGATTTGTGAGTGTATTCGGGACTTGGGCTGGCGCCTGCTTACGCATGCGGAAAGAGAAATCCCGGCCCAATAATGAACTCCTGGCAGCTGCAGGCCGCATGCAGAAAAAAGCAAAATCAAAAAGGAAACAAACACCTTGACGATGTCTGCCCTGTGCGCGACACTTGGGCCATTCACTATGCACAGCGACGGCCTCGCGTTACCGTTGGCGCATGGATATATGCGCCAATACGCTCATGTATCAGGGCGTCGGCATGAAATTGAGCAAGCTGGGCGGCTTAGCCGGACGCGGGCTCACGTGGTGAGCAGCCGGGCGTCGTACTTTGCATGAAGGCAATTTACAGCCAGCGGTAGTAATTATATATCTCTTGTAGGCCACCTACAAGACGAGGGGTAATTTGACGCAAGCCAATAGAGCTCGGAAAGAGTTTTACGTATACGAGGCTTCGGCGTCGCATAACGGTGCGGATACGTGCTCCAAGATACGAAAGCTGTGAAACATTCAGAGGTATACTCTTCTTTCTTGCGTTCGGTCACTACGAATGTGCAGCAGCCAGCGGCGATCGCAAAAACCTTTATAGTTATGCTTGGTGTCGGAAGACGTTTGAATGCCTTTCAGCGAAACTACTGCAATTCGTGTGATTATAGAAATAACGTAATCAGAAACATTTTCGCTTCTATAACTATTTCCAAGAGGTACCAAAACGATGGAAGGCGCTGTCAGTTAAAAAAAAGGAGGGGGAAAGGTATGTTGTTCCCCTAAAGCCAGTACACTCGTATACAAGGGCTCTGTTTTCAGCTGTATATAGGCCATAAGCTGGAATCGGAGCTGCTACAGTTTATGACACTAATAATTTCAGTCGTCGCCCACGAAACGCAACTTCGTGAGGACAGAAAAAAAAATGTTCATAGTCCATATTGCTTGACCAGTGACATTCAACGCTAGCCACATACCTGCCAGCGTAGAATGGCACCGAAAGATAAACAATACTTGCGTCGCTGCACGTACCTCGCTGATGTTCAGGAAGTAAGGAGTGCCTTGGAATTCCGGAGCGTTGTCGTTTGCATCCGTCACGATGATTCGAACCGGCACAGTGATGCTCTGCGAACGGAAAGAAAAATGCCAGTATAAGGAGGCTGGTCACAATTTAACTTCTATACACTTCTCAAACATGTTGAACGCTGACGAAGGCATCCACATTTGCACAGGACACTGTTGTGGCCTGGCGACGTTTTAAGTTTTAGTGATCAAACATTGCGCGCTTTTAACGTTCAAATTCGAAGAGTATAAATGCGATAAAGTAGCCGCGATAAACGAGTGTTGACCAGCTGGGCCCCCATTCACAAAAACGTCTTACGCTAAATACGTTCGTGAAAAAATGTTTTAACCAATCACAATACGGGACATATTATTAGCGAAGCCTTTTGGCCAATGGCAAAACGCACTTACGAAAGGGAAGTTTTGTACTTTCGACCTAGTATTTTTCATCCTTCGTCAGCAAGCAGGAAGTGATAAAGTGCACGCATCTAATGCACTAATAAGCAGGTAACAAGACTATGTGCCTGTCGATATTGATAATAAACTGATTTGTAAATGCAACTTGCTGGTTAGTTGATATTGCAGCGAACTACCGAAAACCCAGACAACTGGTTCATCACTCAGCAGTATGCAGCGCGTTGTATTCTGAAGCACACTAATCACAGCTTGGAGGGCCCGCATTATTAGGTTCTCGTCATCTTGCGCCGCAGAAAGTCCTTGCTGCTTTTACAGCAAAATCGTTCATCGAGGTCAGCAACGATTCCACTGTGGCGGTAAAGTCGTATAGCTAACGTGGAGTACCCTACAATATGTATGGCGATGCCGCATTTTATTTCCACTTTAACTAGGAACTATTAAAGGTCAGTAGTGTGTAATTATTGGGCCTTAGTTTCGTTTTACAATGTGCACGTTAGCGTCCACGAAAGTTCATTTTCTCTCTCCTCACGTGGAATGCTAGCTAGAAGTTTGAACTGCTTTGGCTCATAAATGTTTTTTTTTTTCGTCACACAGCAGCGCCACTCGATGGCGTGGTGGCACGAAAATAGTTGTATATGATCCGAGAGAGCTTCGTCACATGAAAATTCTAACAGCGCGCACTGGATTGGCTGTAGTTTTTATAACAGACAAACATTTTATGTCGGGTTACCGAAAAATGTCAAACGTATTTTAAAGGTTCATTGTATAGTGTAATGAATCATTTGATCAGACTGACATATATCTGCGAAACATTGTTTCTCCCTGTCTTTTGCCTGTTTTCACCAAAAGAGGGAATTTTTCTGGCTAGTTTTATGCATTCTCAGGCCTATATACATGATCGTGCGTTTGGCGTGGTCACGCAAACAACCGAATCTCTTCCTATGGTTTGAAGATATACAGACGAGCATGTCATGTGGTCTCTTGCGTTGCTCAATGTTGGAGAGACAGCGAAATTGTGATGATGAAAGAAAAAAAGCATGATTAATTGTTGGGCAAGTTCAGCCCTTCTGTAGGTATCTCCCATAGTTGCAAGCAGAAGTGTGCAACAACTCTCCATGGGACACGTTGGTAGAAATGTGCTTTAGTCTTCCTTTCGTCTGCCAGTTACGTCGGTGTACACTTGTTTCTAATACACCTTGTTCCCCGCTGGTCAAGGAAGTGATCTAGTGCGGCATCGATAAACTGTGACCACTTCCGTGCAAAAATAGGTTTTCTCTCGGTGGGGTGTGGAAACCGTGCGGACGCTGTAACAGCACACCATCTCCTTCGCTAACACCAGGCAATGCACTCTTAACAGGGGGGGGGGGGGGGGGAATTACTGCTATCGAGAGGAGCGTCTATGACACCTGAAAGTCTCATCCTCTTCCAAAATCGTCAAGGTACCTGGTTGTAAAAATTTGCAATAAATATTGATTGCATGCTGTACAAAGTCCTTCGTGAAGCGCCACCTGGATACTCGTGGCAACGGTCGATGCGTTTCGCGCATTCAAGTTGCTATCCATAAGTAATTTCTCAATCATCGTAACAAAATTAACAAAACACATCTATCAGTATAGACTTTTCTTATAGCCGTAAAGCACGTGGACTTGTGGCCTGGTTAGAATAAGGGTATTCTGATTCGATTCCACATGGGACGCATACACGGGACTGCTATGTATTCATTTGAGGACGTCCCCTGACGACCTGCCCTGCATTCACCAAACGGCCCACATCAATGTAACTTGCACAGTGTCCGTTACAGAGCTAAACTGCAATGAAACGTCGTTGGTGGGGACACCCGTAAATTAAGACGTGCCCAGAGAAAACAGTACGTAAAACAATATGTTTAACAAGCTGGAGCCCCTTCTTTCCTTGGGGCGTTCTTGTCGTACGTGATTGCTTCCGTTCTAGCCCTTGGTGTTCCCTCATCGAGTGTCTTTCATCGGACGTCCTGCGCCCTGCAATTGCCTGTTTGGCGTTCCTTCCAGGGGGACGCACGCGATACGAAGTGTTCTGAACGGCGTGAGAGACAAGCAGCGCGGGGGCCTCATGCAGGGAGGAGGTCGATGCAGACGACGCTAGCGGAGACATTGCCGGTCGCTGCGTTCTCAGGGACTCCCTTCGTCGCGGCGGTCACCGTGTTTTCACGGGGGAAGGAAGAAGGACGCGGAATACCAGCCGTATATATCGCAGCATCGTACGTCGGCGGCCGGTGCACAAAAGCTCGACTGTGCCTCTGCTCGAATGCGGCCGAGCAGCATTGATCGGGGCATGAGTGCTCGTCAACGAACCGCATCGTTTATGTGCCCTGCGATTCCATGTTGTAAGCAAATGAAAAATAAACTGGGTGAAGTAAACAAATTCAAGTAGACAAATTCAGTAGGTGGCGTAGCGAGAATACTTGTTGTTGAAAATAAGAGCAATAAAAAGAAGGAAGCACGAAATAGGTTGAACCACTCATAACAGCCCGATTTCGTTAGAGTTCGAATAATGTGCAATTTAGTCAACGCCCCCACTTCCACCCTACCTTCCTCCCCCACCCTTAGAAATTCGTGCGCGCTTATTACTTGATCCAAAACTAACAAAACACACAAATTAAATGGCCTGTTTAAACAAGCCATATACACTTTCATGCGCAGATGGCTTAGCTTAAATACAAACCATCGCCGATAAAATAAACATCCATTAGGCCGGCAAATGCCATCCCACTGCGCATTACGTGGAAACAACCTGTCACGTAGACAAGTAAAGAACAGACTTTGGATGACGGGCAAATACAAGCCCGCAACGCTAACACAAGTCGTGAACGGTGTCCGCAGCTGAAGAATACAATACGCCCTGCAATGACGCTACCTGATGACCACCTCGCAGGACATATACACCATTTTAAACGTGTAGTTGAGGCGTGTTTCTTGCGAATAACACAAACGAACTACGCCGCATTCCAAGATATAGTGTCGTCACGCTTCTGTAAACACTGACGCCTCGAGATGAAGTTTGACATGAAAAAAAGGTCGGCCTTGTTTTGTAGAGATAACCACAGCTGTTTTCTTGTGTTCCTCTGAGGCACTCCAGGCGTGTTGTGTCGTCAACTGTACACATTTTTTTTTTGAAATCGGGCTGATATTTATTTAGAAGTGACTATTTACATAGGCTATGCGCACTTTGATAATAATTACTGGGTTTTCACATTCCGAAACAACGATATCATTATGGGAGGTACTGCAGCGGAGGGCTTCGAGAATTTCGACCCCCGGTGTTCTTATACCCCGGCGTACTTATACCCCCGGCGTACTTATACCGTACGCTTGCGTTCATTTCATGCTAAATGTAGATATGCTCTTTATGCTCTTGAGATTTCACACGAACTGCACTGACCATATATATATATATATATATATATATATATATTCCGCTGCAATCGCTGTCTAATGACTAGTGAGCTGTTTGTAAATATGTGTACTTGATTGAACCAAGATGAACGGCGTGAACAGAACGATGGGCAACGCGATAGAGATATACGAAATCCGCGTTCGTCGTCATTTTCGCGCTTAATAATCTCAGATCGTGAAAACCAACACGCTCAGTGGTCTACCCTAACCTTACTTGAAGCGATGGATGCATATATATGGAGTTGTTCTATGCTAAGCGTTTCTATTTTCGTTGCACGTCTGACAAAAGGGTAACCGCAGCATCTACATGACATGGAATAAAAAGAAGTAGATTCAGAAAGATTAAGAAAAAAAAACAAATTTAGTTCATATAGGCTCTTGGCTGAAGCACGCCGGCGATATTTCCGCTTTTACAGTTTTGTAAGGCTACAGCCCTTGGCAACTCTGACGGTCATCCCCGTTCACTTGCATGTCCACCTATTTTTAAGCCATTTTGCTTATTGCCTCTTTACGATGTTGATTGCCAATGGAGCACAATTGCTACTGCAGTCATAGTCTGTGCCACTTCTCTCCTTTCTGCGTTGTCTTTTTGACTGTTTTTTTTTATTTCAGTGTTATGTACCAACTACCCAGACTTCGATCTTACCGCAGGCTATTTTCGTTCCAAGTTTTGCTTTTGCGCAAGTGCTACGATAATGTGCGCACCAAAGACGTGCTTTCAAGGAGACATGAAACCACTTATAACGCTGCCTGGCCGGAATGCAGCCGCAGAGAGAACGAACTGCTTTAAACGCTCAACCAAAAAGTATGAGTGGTAAAGCAATTATGAAGAGGAGAACACAGTTTCCGATGCGTTACGAAACTCAATAAAAGCCAACTGAACAGCCTCACTAGAAGCCTGAATTTCTACCAACAATCTATGTACACATATTTGACACTTTCTGTAGTGCCCACTATACATAGTCGAGAGCAACCAATTAGAAGTTTTCAGTCCAGAGATGTGGACAGCGGTATAAGTATACGCCATGGAGATCATGATAAACACACGTCTCACGTCGCCTGGCATGGAGGTTGTGGCTATGATTAAAGAGGCCAAATGGATAGAGAGGCGTGTTCAGAAACAGTAAACATGGATGAAGAATACAAAACACAACCATCATTAACTCATTTGTATTTTTTGAGCACTCTAGATATGTCATTTTGATCACAGCGTAC